CCCCTTCCCTGCCTTGCAATTCGAGGAACTTCTCAAAAAATCAAGGCCAGCTGAAAGCAAAATGCCAAATGCCTGGTGGGTCTGTACACAGGATCTGTGAGGCAAAGTGTCCATGGAGAGGCCAGCCAGGCTCCCTTGGCACCTGCCGTGTGCCAGCACTCTGTGGGCAGTTCCAAGCATCAGCTTTCCAAACACCCAGCCCTGTTTGAGGGCACACGAGTGGCTCGTACTGGTGACACTGGGATGTAGACCCCCAGTGGACCTTGCTGCCTCCCCAGCCCAAAGGGAAGCAGAGGAAAGTAGGTATGTCTGTGGTCCCTTTCTACCAGGAGGTGATCGGGGCCAGGGAGCCTCACTGCAGCCCTGTGACATCTGTGCTCCTGGCCAGCCCCATCTGACAGCTGAGAGAAAGAAGACCCAGAGACAAGGGAACGTGCCTGAGTCACACAGCTGGCCGATAGCAGGGCAGGGGTCAGAATCCCGCTCTCTGCTCATCACACCAGATGCCAGAGCCTGGTGAGGCCAGGGCTGTGGTACAGCCCAGCCCAGGCAGGCTTCCTGGAGGAGTGAGTCTCACTGAGCTGCATCTCCTAGACTTTGGGTCCTGGCCCGACCCCTAGACACTCCACTCAAGGCCAGGCTCTGGGTTTAGGCGACTCTAGGGGATCCTGGTGACGAAGGCGGCACGCTGGTGCTGTCCACACTGGTACTTGGACCTGCCGAGTCCAAGTCTGTGTCCTATGCAGTCCCTGGCAGTTCACACACACAGTGAAGTTGAGACTCACCTCTTCTCTGCCTCCCTCTCCTCCTGTCCCTGAGAGGGAGGCTCTCAGGGGTCACACCAGCTGTACTTGACCCCCGGGCCACTGTGCTGCACAGAGAAGGTGGAGCACCTGGCGCCAGGCAGGAGGGGCCTGTAGTGGTGGGGAAGGCGGTTCTGCACACTGTCGGGTGCAAGCAGGGCCCCAGGCGGGGCTGCAGGGATGGGGTTGGCTTCCCAGGGCAGGCCCTTTGTGGAAGCCTGGCCTTCGGGGCTGGCATCCAGGATGCAGCCAAACTCTCTGCTCCAGGGAGAGGCTGGCGTCACTGTTTAACTGTAGGGCTGAGGGGAGAAGTTGGCGACACCCCCGCTTTCTGGCCTCCATACCTCTTTGTCCCCGGCTCGTGTCCCCTCTCCCTGGGGAGCTCACAGCTGCAGCGTGAAGCAGCTTCTGGACAGTTTGACCACTTTTGGTCCCCATTCCCTGGACAGTGTGCCTGGTGAGGGCAGGGCCACTCCATCTTGTTCACACTGTGTCCTTGCACCCGCGAGCAAGGGATGACAGGCTGATAAAGCCAGTGAGGCCGATGGGTGGGGTGGGGAGTGGGGACAGGCCTGAGGGCCTCAAAGGTCTTTGGAGACTCGTGCAGGATACAGCCCTGGCTCAACGGCCAGAAGACTGTTGGAGGGTGTTGGTGAGAGGATACAGCGAGGCCCCGTCCCTGGAGAGGTTCCTGTAGGGGCTGTAAAGCAGAGGGCAGCCCTGGCCAGAGGGTGGGCACACTTTGAGGCCCTTTGAATCCTAAGGGTTCGGGAACCAATGACATTCTCTTCATGATCTTCAGAACTTGGGTCCATCGTGGGGTCTTGGGAAACTGGAAGAGCAGAGACTTGGGTCACAGCAGTGGCCTGGTCAATCAGGATGGGCTGGATGCAGTGGCACTGGCTGCCCAGTACTGGGGAGAGCAGGGGGCCGTGTGAGGTGGGTGTCCCCTCCACCTGGTGGGGAGCAGTGACTGGGCTGAACTAGAGACTTGGGGTCCTCCTGCATCCGTTTCCTTCCCTCGCTCTGTTGCCTTCAAGAGGGCTGTGCACCCAACCTTCCAGGCAAACCCTGGGTCTGGCTGCCAGCACCCCAGGCACCCCAGCATCGCCACCCCAGACGACCGTGGCCCTGGGCTCTGACTCACCTGTGTTTCTGCCTCCCAGGAGCAGGCAGGCTTTCCACCAAATGCAAGCCGTGTTCTCCCATGTCGGGTCCCCACACCTTTGGGACCCTGAGCACCTTGCAGGCCTGTGGTCGGTGCCTGGGGCCCTGCAGCCCCTCTGCTTATCAATTAGTTCAGCCCCCTTTCCTGAGGCTCTCTGAAGGGCCACTGAGGTGGGCGGCCTGTGCGTGGTCAGGGATCTCCTGTAGGCAGCAGCTACCTCCCTCGATTGAGCACCATCTGTGTGCCTGTGCTTGGCATCAGCTCCTTTACCCCCGGGAGTGTTCTGGGAGCTGGTGGGCAGTGGGGGCCGAGCAGCCTTCTTTCTCCTCCTGCTTTCTTGGAAAGACCGATGCCCACATTCCTGTGCCTCATTTGTGGGCAGGCATCAGTTCCAGGAATGGGAAAGCAAGTTCCAGAGAGCTGGAGGCTGTGGGGAGAGAGCAGAGTGCTTGGGAGGGTGGCCTTGGCCCAGGGCAGAGCTGGGTGTGGGCTGAGAGAGTCCTGGGGCGCTTTTTGACCCCACAGGGGCCTGATTCTGGAGCTGTTGGCGTGTCCCCTCCTGTTGGGTTTGGAGGATGAAGGGATGTATAGGGCCTCTTGAACCATTCATTCACTGATGCATTATACAGAAGTTTTCTGAGATGAAACAGCAAAGGGAACAGGGGCAGGAGGGGAGGGGATGAGGGTGTGAGTTGGGGGATGGGGGCCTGACCAAGGAGGGCCTTATATACTCTGAGGTGCTGGGGGTCATGGCAGGGTTTTACACAGGACCTAAGAAAGCTCGATGTCCTTTCATTTTGTTTTGTTTTTTTATTGAAGTGAAATTCACATAACATAAAATTCACCATTTTAAAGTGTACGATTCAGTGGCATTTAGTGCTTTTATGGTGTTGTGCAACCACTACCTCTGTCTAGTTCCAGAACACTTTCATCACCCTGAAAGGAACCCTGTCCCCATGAGCAGTCACCCCCACCCCTCACCCCCCCCCCCCCCAGCAACCTCCAATCTGCTGTGTGTCTCTGGATTTGCTTGTTCTGGGCATTGCATATAAGTGGATCATACAACATGTGGCCTTTTGTGTCTGGCTTTCTTCACTTAGAAAAATGTCTTCAAGGTTCTTCCATGTTGCAGCATGAATCAGCTTCATTCGTTTTTTATGACTGAGTAATATTCCATTGTGTGCGTACACCACATTTTGTTTATCCACTCATCTGTTGATGGGCGTTTGGGTGGTTCCACTGCTCTCCTTTCTAAAACTTTATTTTTATTTATTTTTTTCTGTATTTTGTTTTCTTTCTTTCTTTTTTTTTGAGGAAGATTAGCTCTGAGCTAACATCTGCCACCAATCCCCGTCGTTTTGCTGAGGAAGACTGGCCCTGAGCTAACATCCATGCCCATCTTCCTCTACTTTATATGTGGGACGTCTGCCACAGCATGGCTTGACAAGCAGTGCTTAGGTCTGCACCCAGGATCCAAACTGGCGAACCCCAGGTCGCCAAAGCAGAATGTGCGAATTTAACCACTGCGCCACCAGGCTGGCCCCTAAAACTTTGTTTTTTATTCTAAAACGACCTTTGCCTCCTGAATCCTCATTTTGAGGCACAGGGATCTCTACTTGTCCCCGTCTTCCTGGCAAGCTGCCCCTACAGGTAAACCCATGTTCTTAGGGCAGAAATTCTTGGTTTTGTGCCTTTCCCACAATTTGCTATGTTTCCCCCCTATGTTGACCATAGGGTGACAGGAAGATCCCATGCAGCCTGCTGTTCCCCAGATCCGAGTTCAAATCCTGCTGCGTGCTCTTGTAGCTCCAGGGCTGTGGACGAGCCACTTGCTGTTTCACTGTCCCTGGAAGGTGAGACAGGCCTTTCCCTCAAGGTGGCCACTGATTGCAGCCCAGAGCCAAATTCTTCTGAAGATGGCCAGAGTGACTTTGTGGTCGTGTGGCTGCCCTCCCTTGGGGTGGTGGGCACAAGAAGTGGGCTGGGCAGCTGTTGGTGTGGCTGGGCCTTGAAGGCTGGCCCCTCCTGGGGGTGGTGTTCCCTCTCCCCCAGTGAAAGGCTGGCCCATGACACCCCGGTCCGCAAGGCCCAGTGCTGCCTGGGAGGCTGCAGGTCATTGAGTTCCTTCTCTGTACTGTGCTGTGGCTCTGTGCAAGCACCTTAATCCCACTCCGCCCTCTGCAGGGGAGAGGAGGTGGGTTTACCCGTGGGGGCGGCTCACTGGGAAGGGGGACAGCAATGTGATGCAGAGAGTCCTTCACCTCAAAATGAGTGTTCAGGAGGCACTTTTAGAATGAAAAATAATGGAATAAAGTTTTAAAAAGGGGAGGAGTGGAAGCAACCCAAATATCCATAGATGATTGAAGGGATAAAGAAATGTGATCCATCCACACAATGGAATATTACTCAACCATAGCAAAGAATGAATCTCTGACACATGTTACAATGTGGATGAACTTCGAAAGCATCATGCTGAGTGAGAGAAGCCAGACACAGAAGGCCACACAGTGCGTGATCCCATTTATGTGAAAGGTCCAGAACAGGCAAATCCCCAGAGACGGAAGGCAGATCAATGGGTGCCAGAGGCTGGGGAGGGGGATGGGGAGTGACTGCTCATGGGGATGGGGTTTCCTTTTGGGGTGATGGAATGTTCTGGAACTAGATAGAGATGATGGTTGCACAACATTGTGAATGTACTAAATGCCACTGGATTATTCACTTTAAAATGGTGAATTTTATGTTATGTGAATCTCACCGCAATTGAAAAAAAAAGGGCCAGCGTGGCCTCCAGGTTCTTATGAACCCCTCCCGTTTCACAGGCGGCAAATGGAAGCATAGAGGCTGTGTCCACTGCCAGGCGAGTTAGTGGGCAGCTGGCAGGTGTGGTCAGGATTCAGGTCTTGTTTCTGCTTCTCAGGCTGGTTCTGGCGATTTCGCCCACGCCTGGGGCACCTTCAGAGCCTGCCCGTGGGCGGAGACCAGACAGCCCTGAGGCCTCTGAGCCACACCCCATCCCTGCTCTCCCACAGCCTGGCCGACAAGAACGGAGCCCTCAAGTGCACCTTCTCAGCCCCCAGCCACAGCACCAGCCTCCTGCAGGGCCTGGCCGCTCTCCGCGCCCAGGGCCAGCTCCTGGACGTTGTGCTCACCATAAACAGAGAGACCTTCCCCGCACACAAGGTTGTCCTGGCCGCCTGCAGCGACTACTTCAGGTGAGCAGGGGCCCGGGGCAGGCTGGAGAGCGCCCGCCCTTCTCAGAGGGAGCCCTCTCAGGGCCAGCCAGCCAGGGATGGCTCTGGGCAAAAGCAGCTGGTGTTGGCCAAATGTCCAGTAAACCTGCAGGTTTTTCCAGGTTTGCAGCTTTATTCAAACTTGTTGTGGAAGTTCTGCAGGCAAATGGGATATGCCCGAGAGTCAGAGGTGGCATGTGGGTATCCAGTTAGCAGCTTCTACCCTGAGGGTCACCAGATTTTCATTCTGGCAGGGCTCCTCCAGGTTTTCATTCTGAGCCTTTGTTTGACAGCTGTATGTGTCAGACACTGTTCTAGGCCTCAGGGATCCAGCTGGGATAGGACAGGCACTTGTCCCTGCTCTCATGGCACCTGACCTCAGGCCGAGGGACAGGAGAGTCTTTCCAGTCCCCATGTGACAGGGGAGGCCTTGCTGGGTGTACGGGTCAGTCCGCCACCAAGGCCCTTTCCTAAAAGTTCCTTCCCTGTGCCCGGCTGGGTGGGGGCACTGGGGCCCCAGGAGCAGGGCCAGGGGCCATTCTCCTTGCCAGCTGGGGCGGTCATGGGCTGGGGATGGTCTCCCTCATTTTCTTGGTGACCAGGTGGCAAGCATCCTCCTGCCAGGTGGCGACCCCACCAGAGAGAGCTGGGGGCCATCCTGAAAGTTGTTCTCTAGCCCTGCTTCGCCAGTGGTGGCAGAGATGCCGCTGCCCACCGTCTCACAGAGCCCCAGCCCAGGCGCAAGCCGCGGGCTGCATGCTCTTCCAGCCGAAGTGCTTTGCCTGGTGCGCCCCCCGGCTGCCCGCCCCGTGGGCTCAGTGAGGCCGTTCTGGGGAGTCGGAGCGGCCAAGCCATCTGGGGCGCCGCTTCTATTTTTATTCTGGATTTGGGGACGGGCGGGCCGGCCCAGCCAGAAATGCCCTTTAAAGGCTCCTCTGCGCTGGCATTGCAGCTGGCAAGGCCTTAAAAGGCAAAGCTCCCTCCCGTCGCCGTGACTGCCTCTGCCTTCGATGGGCTGAGGGGACTCGTGGGGACAGGAAGGGGCAGCGTCTGGGGGGTGGCAGTGCGCTGCCCTGGAAGGCCTTGTTGCTCCGCGTGGAGGATTGGGCGGTTGTTAGTTGGTGCCCCCACAGCAGCACCAAGCTCAGCTATCCCTGCTCTGGGGCCTGAGCCCGGCCCACGCTGGGTGTGCGATGGGGGACGGGCATCCGCTGGGTGAATGGACGAGTGAAGTTCCCTCCCCTTAGTCAGCCGTCACGATGAGTGCTGTCGGCAGTTGTAGTTGTGATGAAGTGCCAGCTTGCTCCATGAGAGGAGCCTCCCATGCACCATCTTCTAGAACCTCCCACAGACTCTGAGGGGGCACTGGGGTTCTCACCCCTTTTCCTGGTAGGGGGCCCCCGAAGGCCATAGGGGGCTGTGACCCAGGTCTTGTGTGTCTCACTGGTGCTCACGTTAGCGCCTGCCACATTAGAGCAGGACAGCATGGCTGACAGAGCTGGGGTCATCACTGGAGGTCTCAGGATGGGCTGGGGCTCCTGTGGGCCATTCTCGGGGGAGCTTCACTGACCTCCTTGGCATCTCTCTGGAGATGGCAGTGACACAGCGGGGCCCCCTGATGGGCATTCCCACCTGGGGGCCCTAACTCCCTCCCCTTCCCTGTGTGACAGCAGCTGAGACCCAGGCTGGAAAGTGGAGCTGCCTGCCCAGATGAGCGTGCCGCTGAGGGCTGGGCTCTGTGCACAGGGGTGCTAGTGCCTTCGGGTCCCCGCCTTGTCGCCTCAGCTTTCTGCAGGTGCGGTCTTCCAGGGCCAGGCGCCAAGGCAGGGCTGGAGACCTGTCCCCAGAGCCAAAGCCAAGGTGTGGTCTCCTCTTGTATAGCCACACCTGTCCCTACATGAGCGACCCCTGGCCCCCACCCTCCAAATCAGCTGGGCCCCAGCCATGTACACCTCCGGGTGAGGCCAGGTGGGGCCTCTTGTGGAGGGGCACAGTGGGGACTTGCTGTTGGTAGGAAGATGCATGGTTTAGAGTGGATTCAAAATCTTTTCTTTTTTACATGTCTTTAAAGAGCATTTAGTTCTCCTCCCCACCCACCCTGCTATCTGGGGCCAGGCTGGTCTGGGCCAACCATGATGCTCCTCAGCCGCCCAGAGCCCACACTCTGTTTCCCACCTTCAGGGCCATGTTCACGGGTGGTATGAGGGAAGCGAGCCAGGACATCATCGAGCTGAAGGGTGTGTCAGCCCGTGGCCTGCGGCACATCATTGACTTCGCCTACAGTGCCGAGGTGACTCTGGACCTGGACTGCGTGCAGGACGTGCTGGGCGCTGCGGTGTTCCTGCAGATGCTGCCCGTGGTGGAGCTGTGTGAGGAGTTCCTCAAGGCTGCCATGAGCGTGGAGACCTGCCTCAACATCGGCCACATGGCCACCACCTTCAGCCTGGCCTCACTCAAGGAGTCGGTGGACGCCTTCACTTTCCGGCACTTCCTACAGATCGCCGAGGAGGAGGACTTCCTGCACCTGCCACTGGAGCGCCTCGTCTTCTTCCTGCAGAGCAACCGGCTGCAGAGCTGCGCCGAGATCGACCTGTTCCGTGCTGCCGTCCGCTGGCTGCAGCACGACCCGGCCCGGCGGCCGCGCGCCAGCCACGTGCTCTGCCACATCCGCTTCCCACTCATGCGGTCGTCGGACCTGGTGGATAGTGTGCAGACGCTGGACATCATGGTGGAGGACGTGCTCTGTCGCCAGTATCTGCTGGAGGCCTTCAACTACCAGGTGCTACCCTTCCGGCAGCATGAAATGCAGTCTCCGCGCACGGTTGTGCGCTCGGATGTGCCCTCGCTGGTTGCCTTTGGCGGCACGCCCTACACTGACAGCGACCGCTCTGTCAGCAGCAAGGTGTACCAGCTGCCTGAGCCCGGTGCTCGCCACTTCCGCGAGCTCACGGAGATGGAGGTGGGCTGCAGCCACACATGCGTGGCCGTGCTGGACAACTTCGTATATGTGGCTGGGGGCCAACACCTGCAGTATCGCAGCGGCGAGGGTGCAGTGGACGCCTGCTACCGTTACGACCCCCACCTGAACCGCTGGCTGCGCCTGCAGGCCATGCAGGAAAGCCGCATCCAGTTCCAGCTGAATGTGCTGTGTGGCATGGTGTATGCCACGGGCGGGCGCAACCGAGCTGGCAGCCTGGCCTCGGTCGAGAGGTACTGTCCACGGCGCAACGAGTGGGGCTATGCCTGCTCACTAAAGCGCCGCACCTGGGGCCACGCGGGCGCCGCTGCCGGGGGCCGCCTCTACATCTCAGGTGGCTATGGCATCTCGGTGGAGGATAAGAAGGCCCTGCACTGCTATGACCCGGTGGCCGACCAGTGGGAGTTCAAGGCGCCCATGAGCGAGCCCCGTGTGCTCCATGCCATGGTGGGCGCCGCTGGCCGCATCTACGCCCTTGGGGGTCGCATGGACCACGTTGACCGCTGCTTCGATGTGCTGGCCGTGGAGTACTACATGCCTGAGACGGACCAGTGGACCAGTGTGAGCCCCATGCGGGCTGGCCAGTCAGAGGCTGGCTGCTGCCTGCTGGACAGGAAGATCTACATCGTTGGGGGCTACAACTGGCGCCTCAACAACGTGACAGGCATTGTGCAGGTCTACAACACTGAGACAGATGAGTGGGAGCGCGACCTGCACTTCCCGGAGTCCTTTGCAGGCATCGCCTGTGCCCCCGTCCTGCTGCCTCGGGCGGGGACCAGGAGGTAGCTCCCGGGGCCCCTGGCATGGCCTCTGCTGTCTCTGCGAGAGGCTTAATGAGCACATGTCTGGGCGAGAACCATGGATGTCTTCTCCCCCGGGTTGGCCTCGTGGGGCCTGCCTGTTGATAAGGTCCCTCTTTCCTTCCTGAAGCAGATCTTGGCTCAGTGCCCGCTGAGGCTGTCTGCCAGCAATGAGGCCAGTGTGTTGTGGCAGCAAATTCGCACCCGAGGCGGTTTCCTGGCTGTGCGTTGTCCTTGCTCCTGGGGAAATTGGGGCTCCTTAGGGTGGTGTTATGTGGCTTTGCCCCGCTTCTCTCCCCTCCCACAGCCTGGCTGTCTTAGACATTCAGATGTGAGCTCATTAACACGACCTCAAATCCGTGGTATGCAACTCGCCTCACTCCAGGTTTATGCGCCTGTATTTTTTCAAATAAACGCACCCCAAATCTCTGTAACATATGGACCTCTGGGAGTGGAGAGGGGGCTCAGAAGCTCCCACGTGCTCCATAAGCCTGAGCTGCTGGGGTGAGAGGGGCCCCAGAAGAGGGTCCGCACGCTTCTCCATTTCTATCCTTGGTCCTCACACCTTCAGGATGTTCCCTTGTCTACTTTCAGGAGCAAAAACACAGCCAGCTCTCAGCTGACAGGCCCCGGGCCTTCCATTTGGCACTGGGCGTCTCATGGGCCCTTCATGAAGACTGGGCCAATGCCCCTGTCCCTGTCCCTGGGCCACAGTTGAAGGGGATGCCAGCTTCAGAATCTCGCAGTGCATCTGCATTCCACAGGTCTGTCCAGTGACTTTTATTTCTTGCCATCTGTGCAGCCCTCTGTTCCCCCATCACCCTGTGTTCAGGTTGACGAGCCACTGGGCCTGTGCCCACCCGGCGTGGGAAGTCAGGCGGGCCGTGAGGCCTCTCACTTCAAGGGCTTCAAGGCATTTCCAGCTCCATTTGTTTTGGTTCTGTTTTGCTTTTTTTTAAGAGGCCAGCACCACTATCTTATAGATGGGATTTGTACCCTTGGGACAACTTAAAGTGTCTCTTCTGCTGCTAATGGACGATTGATGTCGTGTCTCTGTGACCCACTTGCCGTGTAAAGAATTAACCTCGTACCTTAGCAGACGTCGTCTCCTAATATTTTCTTTTTATTTAATAAAAATATTATGGTGAAAAGATGAAGCGGGCCCAGTGCTGAGCTTGTGGGGCCTGATGGGTCACAGATTCCTCCTGTCCTCCACATGTTTGGGGCCGCTCTTCCCACCTCGCCCTTTTCCAGCCTTGCTGAGGAGCTGGAATGGGGGCCCACCTTTGGCTCAGGGGTGTGGGGGCAGCAGGAAATGTGGCCAGGACTTCCTTCAGACCCTGGAAGATAGAGGGCAAACCTAGCCTATGCCAGGCAGCCTTTGGCGACACTCTCTCCAGCTCGTTCCATGCACATGGTGGCCAGGCCCCCCACCACCAGGGAGCCCCCAGGTCCCAGCAGGTTCTGTTTCCATTTGCTCGGTCCCGGGGCCCGAGACTGGGTCACTCGGGAGTCCCTGTCCCTGGAGGCCGTGATGAGGGAGACGCAGGGCTGGTCCTAAAGGAAGCATGAAGTCATCATGCTTCCATATGGGCCCACAAGCTCCGAGAATTGCCCCCAGCCCCCACTCTTACGTCAGGCCTTGCCGCAAACCGGGCTTCATGTTGGTGGAGAATGCCTGCCGTTCACAGACAGCCTTCTGAGAGGGGAGGCTTCTGGAGTCACACTCAAAATACACTCGCAGGCCTGGTGACCCTGTGCAGTGGCCATCGGGGCCCAGGTGCAGCTGGGTATGGGCGTGGTGAGGTTGAAAGAGGAACTTGGTTGGGAACCAGGAAGGAGCCCATGCCTCCAGGGGTATCGGAAGTGAAAGCAGCGGCTCTTGGGGACTGAGCAGAACATTACAGACCCTTCTCATTCCCCCCAACCTGAGCTCCCCCAAAGAGACCCCCTTCCCTGCTAGAGGCACGGCCCCTTCAGGGGAGCAGTGAGAAGCCTTTGCCAGCTACAAGTCCCCCCAGATCAGCTCACACCTCACAACATCTTGTCCCCAATGAGCTGGCAGGGGTGCCGGGGCGGGGGGTGCTGCTGTATCTGACTGGGTTGATTGTGCATAACCGTCTGGGCTGGTTCATGGAATGTTCTCGGGGCCCCCTGCCCCTCCCTCTCCACTGCCCCCCCACAGAAGAAAGGAAAATTATTTTTCTTATTGTAAACTTTAAACACGAAAAAGCTGTTTTTAATTTAGCAGAAACTGGCTTGAATCTTCACTTTGTGAACATTTGTGTCCTTCAGAGAAAGGCGGAACACGAGTGCACACACATGCTTGCATGCATACACGCATATGCTCACACGCACACCTGCACTTGTGTATCTCTTTGCACACATTCACGTGGTCATATCTGCGCTCACACGCAGCCTTGCTCATATGCTTTGTAATGCGCCCCTTTGCTTACACGCAGGTAAACACGCTACACTCACACACACCCCTGGATCAGCCTGGCCCTCTCTACACGACACACTGAACGGGTCTGAAACCCGTCACTTCGTCACCTCCCTTCACCTTTTGCCCAGGGTGGTTGGGCCGGGAATGGTTGTCCACTGTGCATAGGGGCTGAGGCTGGGGAAGCCCGTCTGCTTCCAGATGTCCTGCTTCCCTGCCGTGGCTCTGGAGGGGCCGGCAGGAGCCTCCCTCCACACCTGGGCTCGGGCTGTGGGAAAACACTGTCTCCTGAGACGGTGGGATGCAGGCCCATGAAAGGGATGCCAAGTGTGACTTCTGGGGCCTCGCAGTGAGCGAGGGCCAAGGGGGCCTCTGGGGAGCCGTGTGAGGTGGGAATCTGCCCCGGACCTGGCCAGCTTGGAAACCCGCCCCTGGCTTCATCTCCGAGAATGCATTTCCAGCTCCTCTGTTCTCACGGGCCCTGGAGACTTCGCTTCTTGTGGTGGAGGCTCCGTGAACGGTTTTATGAGGGGCACCTGGCTGTGTATCCCAGGAGGCACAGCCCGAATGTTTGCTGCGTAAACGAGGTTCTGCGGTGGGGAGGTGGGAGCAGAGCCTCATCCACTCCAGCATCTGTGGGCACTGTCTGCCTGTGGACCCCAAGGGCAGGAGGGACGAAGCCCCTCTCCTGTGGGCTCGTGGCTGACCCTGCTTGTTGCCATCCCAGCAGCTATTTCTCCCTCTTCACCAAGAGAGCTATTATTTTGTGCCAGAAGCAGCGTGCCCAGCCTTGGGGGTTAATTTAGGATTTGGCTGAGCTATTCTTGGCAACACCTTTTGCTGCGGTTGTTTTCGATCTGGGTGCGTGTCCTAGCTCTGGCCAGCAAGCTTTAAGGGGAGGTTGTGGGTGGGGGTTTCTGGACACAGGAAAGGCCTTGTTGCCCACTTCCCTCTCTTACTGCTTTCTGTGAGGACACAATGCCAGGAGCTTCTGCAGCCATCTTGTGGTCAGGAACAGCAAGTTAAGAGGCACAGAGATGCCACCTCCCAAAGCCCTGAAATCATGGGGCCACCAGTCCCACCCTGGGACCTCTGACTTCTAGATTCTTTTTTATGAGAAATCGCAGTGTCTGTGCTACTTAAAAGACTAGTGATCAGGTATTCTGGTACTTGTAACCCAAACAGTTCCACAATTATAATATAAATCTGACAGATGCTAGGGTTTCCCCATCTTATATAAGTCAGGGTTTTTCTTTGCGAGCAACAAAAACTGACTCTGCCCAATTTAAATAGAAAAAATGTGCACTGGAAGGCTGTTTGGTTGCTCATAGAAGTGGCAGGAAGACTGGAAAACCAGGCTCAGAAAACAGTAGGTAATCAAGTGGGGAGGCAGCCAGGGCGGTTGTGCCAGGGAACTGGTTGGTAAAGACACCTCTGCTACCACCCCAGAATCCAGCTGCCTCAGTTGGCACTGCTGCCTGCCCTTGAAACCAGATGCTCCTGTCCCAGTGCTGTTTCTTTGCTCCACTTGTTCCTGAGTGGGAGCATCCCGTTGGCCCAGTCTATGCCCTGTGCCAATGTCCTGGCTGCCTGGGGAGCGGGGGAAGTGAGTAGGGCAGTGCATTAGGCAACTGCTGCTGTGTAACAAACAACCCCAAGTCTCAGTGGCAAGCAAAAGTGTTTTTCATATGTCTCTGACTCAGCTGGGGTTGACTGTTCTAGGCCGCCCTGGGCTGTGCAGCTCTGCTTCCAGGTGCAAGGCCGTGGCATAGCCAGGAGGCTCAGACCCACCAGTCTCACATCCTCCAACCAGCAGAGAGTCACCTTATGTTCTCCTCCTACAATGGTGCCAGAGGACAAATGGAATCACAGGAGGCCTCCTAAGGTCAAGATTCAGAACTCCTATGCTGTCACTTCTGCCCATATGCCTTTGGCCAAAGCAAGTGACATGACCAAGCCCCAGATCAGGGCTGGGGAAGTATCCACCACCTTAGGGAGGCGGGACACGGGAATGGACAGGGAACTGATGCCGATAGTTTGATCAGTCACATCGTTGGCTTTGGGGCTTCTCTTTCAGCAGGGCGTTGCCTTCCTATTGTGGAGACTCCCCAGACTTGCATGGGGCCTCCCATGCTGGGCAACAAAGGAGAAGAAGCCTGCTCCACCTCTCCTGCAGGACTGCCCCCTGGGGGTGTGGAACCCTCATCTTTCTGTCCTGCAGATCGGGCTGTAGGCGTCCTGGCTTTTGGACAGTGGGGAGGTCTGCAGCTCAGCCAAGTCCTAGGCACTGTGGTGTCACTGGGAGGCCCACCCAAGAGGTCCCCTCAGCACAGTGGTTACGGGGGGAGGAACTGGACTGTTGGCTCTGTGCCTGTCTTGCCGTCCCCTAGAGCCATCCCCCTGGCTCACTGCCCCCTCAGCTCTAGCCTCTTGCTATCCTCTTTGGCAGTCCTGCCCTGCCCTACCTTCCATCTCACACTCAGCGCAGGCTGGGGGCCCAGGGACCTGGGTCCTCATCTAACCTCTTCCTATTCAATTGTAAGGTGTGGCGCCACACTTGGGACTTCTGGCTTCTGCTGGATCCTCCCCTTTCACTTCATAATCAGACCTGCCTCTTATTTGCCTTTCAAAACTGAGATGAGCGCCTGGTTTGGAAGTCACAGGTGGGCCCTGGATGGTATTCTCTCTGCCCACCCACTCCGATGGCCCGAATTTACCTCCATGTGCTGGGGGTACCCTGGATTGACCGTATTCCATATAAGGCAGCGCAGAACAGAGGTGTGAACACCAGCATCTCGAGGTAGGGTTTGCTTCCATAACATTCACTCAGTGCTTGTGAGGAAGCAGGCACTGAGTGCTTCACTCGTGTATCTATTTCATCTCCCCAAGAGTCTGCAGGAGGAGCCACTACCCACATTTAACACAGGAGGACAGTGAGGCACAGAGGGGCAAAGTTACTTTCCTGTTGTTGCACAACTGGAGAGTCAGCAGAGGCTGGGCCATGCAGAAACACTCAGGAGTTTAGGTTTTCATTTGGCTTCTATTTAGAGGTTTTATGTTGAGGGGTGCTATGGTCTGGATGAAGGGAAAGGGCATTCTAGGCAGGGACACAGCTTGTGCAAATTCCCTGAGGCAGCATGCAGCAAGGCTGGAGTGGAGGACGCGAAAAAGGGAAGGGTGGGAGATGATGCTGGCAAAGCTAGCAGAGAACAAATGGAGCCAGGCAGAGCTAGGGAACAGAGGAGAGAAAACTATTCTGGAGGCAGCAGGAAGGGGCTTATAAGGACTTGCCTCTTAGCTCACACTTGGATGTGCTCTGTAACTAAAGTGAAGCTAAACTATTGGATACCCGCAGCTCCTTTGGTGACGGCAGGCTGGAGAAAGACCCAGGGCTAGGTGAGCCTAGAGTGAGGAATACAGCTCTCCTTTGGAATAAGGATGGGCTTTCTGGAGGAGGGACATTTGAGGTGGGTTTTGAGGGATGAGTAGGAGTTTTCCAGGCAGAAAGTAATTCATTCAACAAACACTTCCTAATTCCCTCTTTTTGCCTAGTGTTGTGTTAGCTCTGGGGATCCAGAGAAACAGAATGGACACAGAGAGTATAAAATGAGGCCTAAAGTGCTCAAAGCCATCAGGGGATGAACAAGTCTTAAGAGTAGGGAATTGGGTGTGTTTGTGTCTTTTCTGCTTCACACAGGGAACTCAAACCCTGGAATGTTTGGGAAGGGTGAACATACTTTTAGCTTCTGATGTCAGCTCAGTCTATGGAGGAGCAGACAGGACATTTGGTCATAGCTGCCTTCAGAGAGTTGCCTATTCCCAGGTCATGGAACATACACGGAGGAGTGCACTTCAGATAGGGCCCTCAGGGAGGGTCTCTCAGAGGAGAGTCCTGAAAGATGAGAAGGTGCGAGCCATGAAAGGCTCTGGAGGAAAACAGTCCAGGCAGAGGTAACAGCATGTGCAAAGATCTGGAGCTGGAACAGCAAGAAGGCTGGAGTGGCTGGAGTGAGGGCCAGGGGCGAGGGCCTTGCGGTCTGCCCGCTAGGAGGAGGGTGGATTTTTTCCTAAGCGCGATAAGGAGCATGAGATCCGCCCGCTTTACAAAGACCACAGGCTGCTCCAGAAGCCCTGCTCATGCCACACTGGGTGGCAGCAGCTTCCTTTGATGAGGGAGGAAAACGAAAACATCACAGCTGGGTTCTGCCCGGGTCACCAGATGCCTTGGCCTCGGCCTCCTTGGGGCTGGGGGTCAGTGGAGCCGGAGGAGGGCCTGGGTCACTGTCTGGCCATTGCGCAACAAGCAGGCTCGCGGCTTCCTCTGACTCATCACCAGGGTTGAGGACAGATCAAGTTACCGCTGGGTGTGGGGTGAATAGGGGTGAGTAGGGCGAGCACTGTCCCCTTACCTCTGCCCTGTGGGCATGGCCCCTTTCTGTGACCTCATAACCCCTGCTACCCGCTAAATCTTTTCTCCTCTATCTTTCTGTGCCCAGAAACTGGCTTAGTGCAGTGTCAGGGATCAGGGTAACTAGCATTTTTCGAGCACTTATCTTGAGCCAGGCACTTGAGATGAGTTATTGTCAATTAAACCTTACAAAACCTGGTGTGGAGACCTTGGCAGTCTCTGAGCTCTGCTGTCAGGCCTGAGTTCTAGTCCTGGCCCTGGCACTTAACTTGCTATGGGCAGCTGCTGCCCCTGCTCTCGTCTCTATTTCCTCCCCAAACTCACAGGGCAGTGGTAGGAACTAGAAGCCACATCTGTAGAATGCCCAGCCCCACACCTGACTCCCAGAAGCTGTGGTCTCACAGAGTGCTGGGGAAAGAAAATGGACTTCAAGTTGACTTCAGCAAAAGAGAGAATAAATTACTGGCTCATATAACTGAAAAGGCTGAGGTGTTCAGCTTCAGGCATGGCTGGATCCAGGAGCTCAGACAGTGTCTCTCTCTCTCTCTCTACCTTTGGCTCTGTTTTCCTTTGTGTAGGTTTACTCTCTCAGGCCATCTTTCTTCAAGTGGTGACCTCTGGCACTGCAGACTTGTGTTGTCCTTCAAACTAGCTGCCCAGGCAAAGAGGGTGCTTCTCTTTCCCATGGTTCAAGCAAAAATTCCAGAATTGCATCCCATTGTGCAAACTGAGCCACATGCCTGCCCTGAACCAATCATGATGGCAGACCAATGGGCTCTGCTGATTGGCCAAGGCTTCCAACTTGGGAAGGGGTGTTTGTGGGGGAGAGAGAGTAGTGAAGCCAGCCCCATCTACATATCATGGACTGAAAGTTGCAAAGAGTGTTCCCCAAAGGGCAGTTGGCTGTTGACACCCAAAGGGGGGGGGCAGGTATTTATTATGCAAAAAGGTTACAAGACCATAAAAGTGCTCAAAACCATATGAACAAGAAGGATAAAACAGAGCAGTGGCAGTGTACAGGGCACTCCAAACTAATACATACATATATATGTATTTAATATGGACATTTCATTAACCTGTTGTAAAGTGCCGATAAAAGCATATCCAGAAAATGTTGGTGTTGCCCAATGATCTCCACCAGCGTCCAGCCATCCCTCACCTTAGTAAAAAGTGTACTTGTTGTGAAGTTAGAGCTGTCCCACATTCCCCCAGCCACCCCTCCTGGCTTCCACCCTGTCCATGCCCCCACATCCCTGGAGGGTCCTGAATGTGAACCTCTGATATTGGTGGTTGTGGTCCCTCTACTGGAGGAGGGACAGCTGGATGTCAGAACCCCTCTTGCTTCCCTGGGTCACCCCCCTGCCACTGGGGAGAGTCTGATACCCCTTTTCACTGCTGGGTCTGGTCTGGGTGGGATTTCTGGACCTTTCCTCTAGCACCCCATGGCAAAGCTGAGTTCCTTGAGCAAGACTGGAGTGGAGAAATTCAGAGAGGAGGCTGCAGCTCAGCATTTCTGAGAATCAGAGAATAGGAGCTGGTCAAATGTGAGGTGAGAGGGCAAGGAAGGTAGTAAGATCGACGCCCAGGTTTTTAGGGCTGGGAGCTGCTCAAGAGGTTCAGGCCTCAGCTCAAATGTCCCCTGCTACCGTGAAGGTGGTGGCCGTAGGTGTCTCCCTCCCTAACATGCTCTCCTGCCAGCCCAGCACTGGTTTTATTTTCCACACATGTGTATCTCCATCTGAAAGGTTCTCGGGTCATTTGTTGGTGGGTGACGTCTGCCCCTCCCCGACTGTGCGCCCCCTGAGGGCAGCGGCCACTCCTGCTTGCTCACTCCTTTCCCCCACTGTCCCTGGCACATACAGGCGCTCAATAAATATTCGCTGAATTGATGAGAGCATGATCCAGCAACGCCCTGAACTGGCCTCAGAGCCGAACTGGTTCGAGCCTAGGCTTAGCCTCTGGGTGCTACCTGTCCTTGCGGGGGTGCTGGCCCCATCCTTGTGACCTGGAAGGATTTGGGTCCAGCTATCTCTCTCGGGGGCTCCAGCACCCCAGCCCGTCCGCGGATCTTGCCCAACAGCCAGGCGGCCGCTGTCCAGCGGGCCAGGAGGCGGCTCACTGCGCCTGCGCCGAAATTCCCACTTTCCCTTTCTCGCCTCCACGGCTGGCCTCGAGCCCGCCGCCCGGGCGCGCGCATGCGCTGTCTCCCCCGCGCCGCGCGCCTCTCCCTTGCGCCTGCGCCGCGCTCACGACCGCCGAGGCGCCTGCGCACTGCCCGCCGCCCGCGGCCCCGGCCGGCGCTTGCGCGGTGGCACCGGTGAGTGGGGGGGCGAGGAGGTGGAGAAGGAGGAGGAGGAGGAGGAGGAGGAGGAGGAGGAGGAGGAGGAGGCGGCGGCGGCTGCGGCGGCGGTGGCAGCGGCGGTGGCGGCGGTGGCGAGAAGATGGCGACTTCGAACAATCCTCGGAAATTCAGCGAGAAGATCGCGCTGCACAACCAGAAGCAGGCGGAGGAGACGGCGGCCTTCGAGGAGGTCATGAAGGACCTGAGCCTGACGCGGGCCGCGCGGGTAAGGGGGCTGTCTGCGCCGACCCCGCAGGGCCGGGGAGCGAGGGAGAGGGCTCCTGTCCGGCGCGTGCACGGGGCGAGGGGCGCGTGGCGGGGGCGGGGCGCGGCGGGGGCGGGGCGCCGCGCGGCCGGAGGGGACAGGTGTCCCCGCGCCCCGGGCGTCGTGGGCGGGACAGGTGCTCCCACATCGTCCATACCTGGAGGGGTACAGGTGCCCCCACATCATTGCTACCTGGAAGGAGGGACAGGTGTCACTGCATCATTGTTACCTGGAGGGGCAGGGGCCTCTATATCCTCACTACCTGGAGGGAACAGGTACCACTACATCATTGCTCCCTGAGGGGGGCAGGTGCCCCCCATGTCACTGCTACCTAGGGGAGACAGGATGACACTGAGGTGTATGAACCAGGTGCTGCTTGCGAGCATCATTGTTACTTGGAGAGGGGGGATAGTTGCTCCCACATCATTGGTACCTGGTGTGGGATAAGATCCCCCCATTATTGCTACCTGAAGGGGCCAGTGTCTCCACCTCATTGTCACCCGTGCAACACTCCCTGGGTGTTGGGGGGAGGACAGGTGCCCCCACTTGCAGACCTGATGTGGTATAGGTGTCTCTGGTCTTTGGACTCCTGAGAGAAAGGTCAGGTGTCCTCCCCTATGGGGACCTGAGGGGTTCAGGAAGGCAGATTGTACTCAGTCCTGGAGCTTGAAGTGGAGACAGCTGCCCCTTCCCCATGCAGCCCCTATGGTGGGGACCGGGTGATGTTCCTCCCTCTAGGACAAGAGACAGCTGGCCACAGCTGGCCCCTGGCCCCTCAGGACCAGGGTGGATGGACAGCTCTCCCTCAGGGGTCTGGGCATGTTGGGCATGCAGGGGCAGGCCACATTAGCTGCTAACCTCATCTGGGAATCCTCTGTGGGCCCAGAGCAGGGGCCTGGTTGGGGTTGGGGTCGGAGACCTGGCTTTTCTTCTGAGCTCTAGTTCTGTGGCCATGTGACCACAGCGAGGTACCAAGCTTCTCAGGCCTCGGTGTCCTCCGTTGTCAAATGTGTCTAGCAAGTCCTTCCTCATGGTTCAAAGAGGCGAGCACGCTGTGCACAGGTGGCAGTAAATCTCTGCTCCCTTCCTGAAGAGGGGAGACCCGCACCCTGGGGCCTTGGGGAGGGCTTGGGTGGGAGCTGCAGACACCCACATTGCTGGTTTCTGGATTTGGTCTCTGATCAGACCATCCCTGTGGAGCTGCCTCTGTGATGTGAGCCTCAGGTCACACGTCTGTTTCTTCAGGTGCAATTTTCAGGTCACGTTGTTTTCTAATTAGTTGCTTGTTTCTCCTCAAGATCACGACCTTATAGACTAGAAGGTGTGTCTTCATTTCTGTGCATTCGTTCGGCATGTATTGATTGGGCGCTCAGCGTCGTCCAGGTGCTGCCTCTGCCTGCTCCGGCCACTCCTGTTCTCATGCAGGACGTGGTTGGTGAATGAGTGAATGAAAGAAAGTGTGCAACTTGAGTGTCCCCCATATGTCAGGGCTTCTGTGGGCAGGAGTGTCCACTTCATCTTGTCACCAGCATGTAGCATGTACTAACATGCAGTAGGTGTCAGATGTATGTAGTGTGACACTAGGTTTGTGGCTGTCTTCATGATTGGAGGTCCGGTTTCTGTGTTGGGGTTGGAAATGGATTACTGTTGTTGAAAAGATTTCTTTAAAATAACAGCTTTGGGGCCCACCCAGTGGCCGAGTGGTTAAGTTTGCGCGCTCTGCTTCGGTGGCCCAGGGTTTCGCCGGTTTGGATCCTGGGTGCGGACATGGCACCCCTCAATAGGCCATGTTGCGGTGTCGTCCCACATGCCACAACTAGAGGGACCCACAATTAAAAACACACAGCTATGTACGAGGGGGCTTTGGGAGAAAAAAAAGGAAAAATAAAATCTTTAAAAATAAATAAATAAAATAACTTTATTGAGATATAATTCACATACCATATAATTCACTTGTTTAAAGTGTACAAGTCAGTGGTTTTTAGAGTTGTACGACCATCGCCATTAATTCCAGAACATTTTCATTTCCCCCAAAAGAAACTTTGTACTCACCAGCAGTCACTCCCCATTCCCCGCTTCCCAGTCTTTGGCAACCACCGATCTTTCCAGATTTCTAAATCTTTATGTATTTGCCTGTTTTGGACATTTTGTGTAAATGGAATCATATAAGATGTGGCCTTATGTGTCTGGCTTCTTTCACTCAGCATAATATTTTCATGGTTCACCCGTGTTTTAGCATGTGTCAGTGCTTCATTTTTTTTTATGGCCGAGTAGTATTCCATTGTCTGAGTGCACCACATTTGTTTGTCCATTCATCTGTTGATAGATTTAGAAGAGATTTTTAAGATATGCAGACAGCAGTTCTCTACATCGGGAGCTGGGGAGGTGGGTGCATGTGGGCCCCAGGCAGAGGTGAGCTTACACTAGATCTTTAGAGACAGAGCAGTGTTCTCTGCAGGGAACGATTCTGTCCCTCAGTGGACGTTAAGCAATGACTTGAGACATTCGTGGTTATCTTGACTGAGGGAGGGAGTGCTACTGGCATCTGGTGGGTAGAGCGCAGGGATGCTGCTCAACCCCCCAGGAGGCCGGGATGGCTCCCATAACAGAGTGTGCTCCAGCCCCAGCTGTCAGCAGTGCCAAGGCCAAGAAGCCTTCAGGTGGAGGAAACATTGAGTGGGCAGGGGTGCACCCTTTGCATCTTGCCAGATAGAGTTTAAAGCTCTGTACCCACCTGTATGGCTGTGCCACCTTGGTCAGGCTGATGGCTTTTCCTGCACCTGGGACCAGGATGGGCAAGCTCGTTCCGAGCTGTCTGGTCATTGCACATGGTGAGTGGCAAATCTACAGTGTCTGGTGCAGGTGGGTGAACCCACCTGATGGAGGCTTCGCCCCTGCCCTCCCCCCGTTGCTGCAGCCTTCCTCTGCTGCCTCCCCCTGTCATAGACATCAGGGTTTCACCTGTACCTGTGAACAGGTGGGACACGACGCGCTCGGTACCTGCTCCTCTGTTGTGAATTCCACAGGCCTGGAGCGAACAGGGCCACTCATGTGTCTACTCACAATCCTCGGGGGTGATGGGCACGCCCGTGGTGCCTTCCCGCATGAAACACCTGTCAGCAGGTGTGGAGGCTGATGAGTAAATCCATGCTGTCACCTCTCCTGGGGGCAGGGACCGCAAGGGCTGCGTTGGGTTGGGGGACAGGGTATGATGTGAGGGAGACTACTCTCGAGTCGCAGGTTAGAGGGCTGAGAGCACGAGCGATCCTTTCTCTTTCTCAGACTTGAGACAGCCCACTGTGCAGGGAGGGCTGTGGCACTCTGCTGCGTGACTTTGGACAGGTTTCTTAACCTCTCTAGGCCTCAGAATCCTCACCAGGAAAGTTGGAGTAGCTTGTTCATCCCACAAAATGACATTTTTCATTGCTCAGCACATCCCAGGGACTGTGTTGGGTGCTGGGGAGCCAGCAGCATATGAGACATTTGAGGGCCATGCTCTCAGGGAGCCACTGTGATTTTAGAGGGGTCAGGAGAGAATCATTGCAAATGAACGAAGCAGACACTGTTGGAGACAAGCAGTCGAGTGATGTGCTGGGACTGGCTAGGCCATGGGGCTGACGTCCAGGCAGCGAGACGGAGCCCCTCACACTGGGGAGGAGTGCCCCAGGTGAGGGACAGGCAGGTGTGGAAGCCCCGAAGTGGGAAGGGTTTGTCGAGGTTGAGGACAGGTGGGAGGCAATGAGGCCGTTGTGTGGGGAGAGGGGGAGGAGGGGGAGGCGGGAACAGCTTGACGAGCCCTGGATTCCCTTGAGGAGGGGCCCTGGGAGAGTTTGTGATGGTGAGTGGCCTGACCCTCGGCTTGTTTTGTAACAGCTTTATTGGGATATAATTCCCAATACATTAAAAGCACGCATTTAAAGTGTACCATTCACTGTTTTTGGCGTATTCACAGAGTTGTGTAGCCGTCACCACTCAACTTTAGAACATTTCCATTCACCCCGAAAGGAAACGCTGTCCCCATGAGCAGTCCCTCCCCATCCCACTCCCCCAGCCCCTGGCGACCACCAGTCTGCCTTCTGTCTGTGTGGATTTGCCGGTTCTGCACGTTTCGTATAAATGGGATCATGCACTATGTGGCCTTCTGTGTCAGCTTCTCTCACTCAGCGTGAGGTTTTCCACGCTCATCCATGTTGTAGCGTGTGTCAGGGCTTCACTCCTTTTTTTCAAATTGTGGTAAAATACGCATACTGTACAATTGACCGCCTTAGTCATTTGTAAGTGTCAGTTCAGGGGCATTAAGTGCATTCACACTGTTGTCCAACCACCACCACCGTCCATTTTGTCACTACTTTCTAAGGCTGAATAACATTCCATCATGGGATATCACGTTTCAGGCATCCATTCGTCCGTCGGTGGACACTCGGATTGTTTCCACCTTTTGGCCATTGTGGGTAGTGCTGCCGTGGACATTCGTGTCCAGGTGCTTGCGTGGACGTAGGCCTTCCTTTCCCTTGGGTGTATCCCAAAGAGTGGGGTTGCCGGGTCATATGGTAACTCTACATTTAGCCATTTGAAGATGCTTGTGTCTTCCAAAGATGGCTCTGAGCTGCACGGGCATGGGGGTGAGAAGAGAAGCAGGCGGACTGGGAGAGGCCACGGCGGCGTCTAGGTTGGGGAGTGGGGGAGGTGGCTTGAGCAGGGAGGTGGGTTTTGGTGATTTCTCAGACAGTAGAGACTCCTGGACATGCTAGTGGATTGGTTGTGAGGAGAAGGGATGGGGCATGTCACCCGCTGGTCAGGGGCTTAGGACACAGGAGGCTCTGCATGTGACTGGTAACTGAGCATCCCAGGGAGCTACACCTGGGCCGGAAGAAGCCTGCATGCAAAGCAGTCCGCGGTGGCCTGGCCCGGCTGCCGGGTCCAGCTGTACCGACAGAGGGTGTTCTCCCAGCCCTGCCCTT